TTTTGCTCATATCAAAACCAAAACAAATTGATTCAAGATATTCAATTTTTACAACAGCCATTAATCTGGAGTAGTTTATTCATTTCAGTATTGTATGAGATTATTATCCTTTTAATTCTAAAGTTCATACTTATTAACTATTATCTAAAAACCATAAAAGAATCATTCTTGGAAGTACTAGTACTTTATCTCTGAATCTCAGTTCCATTTGATTATTTTGGGATGTAGAAAAAATTCAACAACAAAGCATCGTTGGGCCAAAATTTTGCTCATTCCTCACTAGAACAATCACCACAACCCTAGTAATTATCCATGCCCTACTCTTATCGAACGTTTCTTAGTAATAATGTATTATATTGAATTGCATTTACCCAATTACTAATAAAAATCCCAAGGAAAATTAAAATTGCAGGCCTCTAGGTCATAATTTTTTATTTTAACTTAAATATCTATTAAGACAATGTTAAAGGATGATTTCCACTGATGTTCATGTCAGAGACGTCATTTTTTTCCCACCAGAAAAATGTCTAGAAATTAAAAATTATATTTTTTTTTTCAAACTTAAATACTGTTAGGTCAAAACTCAGTAAGAATTAAGATGAATCAATCTGACCGATTTCCACAGTTGTCTCTAGATTTCAAACTTCATGAGGCAGGGGCCATGTCTTATAGGCAATCTACCCCAGTACTTAGCAAAGTGCTTGATATGTAAGTCATGTACTCAATAACGAATTTTCCAAAAGTAGTTGAATTTAGTTGTCTTGATGTGCATTTGGTATTTATTATTTAAATAGGCTGTAGTCTACTACTTATTTTCTATACAAATCCACTGGCTGCTCAATACGTAAGATTTAACAGTCATAGATATAGCATGATAGTGTCCAGCTAGACAAATAGGTGTTTGCCACGTATCAGTCAGTTTCATTGGAGAAATACGGGCAATTCTTTACCAAATTCTTCATGTGTTCCCAGAATTTAAACCATCAGACATCTCAGCTGAACCTCTTAAAGATTTTATACTTCTTAGAAAGGGGTAAAGACCAGCTCTGGCAGTCAGATTTCCAAGCTAGAAACAGAAGCCACTTTTAAGTTATTTTAAATAAGGAGAATTTTCATTCAGTGATGTAAGCTCTTCTAAAAACTCTGGAAGGGCTGACGGAGCAGATTCTAGGCTGTGTTCCTGCAGGGACTCCCAGGGCCATACACAACTGGTTCCCTAGAGGAGCGACCATTTCTGAGGCTGCTACTGAAGCTCTGACAGAAACAATAAACCTCTGCTGCTGCTTTGCAAATGAGCACCAAACACTGCTGCAGAAGAGCCTCTTGTTTTCAGGTTCTTACGTGCCACCAGCAGGAGCCAGGAACTGCCAGAATTTAGCCTCTGCCTCCCTAACCCCCCTCCCCTGAAATTTGTCTTGAGTACTTCTAATTGACTGAACCTCATTTTCATTAACCACGATAGCTGCACAGTGCAAGACCCAGTCTCTACAAAAATATAGAAAAATTAGCCAGGTGTGGTGGCATGTGCTATAATATAGCCCCAGCTACTGAGGAGGCTGAAGCAGGAGGATCGCTTGAGCCCAGGAGTTTGAGGTTGCTGTGAGCTATGATGATGCCACTGCACTCTAGCCCTGGTGACAGAGTGAGACCCTGTCTCAAAAAAAAAAAAAAAAAAAGTGATAGCTGTAGAGGTTTTTGAGAAATGTAGATTTTTGCTTTATAATCTCTCCAAATAAAAAAAAAGAGAGAGTGGATAGGAATTCCAATTCAGAAATATATATACATAAATTCCCATTTTTCAGTACTTTCCGCTATTAACTATGGGTAGGGGAGGGATCACAGTAGAATCAACTTAGTGGAAAAGCAAAAGCAAAGACTATGAATTTAGAGGCCTTGGGTACAAGTCTAGCCCTGGCACTTATGAACATGAACAAGCCATATGTTTTCTCTGAGCCTCTGTTTCTATATTTTATGAACGACATCCAGTCCTCACAGGATTATTATGAGGATCACATTAGACACGAATGTAAGAACACTTCATAAATATCAGGTACTAAGAAATTGTAAGGAGATATATGACCAGTAGAAATGATCAAAGAAAAATTAAATGATATTCCATTGCTGTTAGAGCTTTAGTGCTAAAGGCATTTTATTTTATTCTAATTTTTGGAAAATGTGTACCCTTTTTTTATGTAGTTTATAAATTACTACAATATCTCATTTCCCAACCATCTGGGATTTAATGTAACTGGAGAAATTAGATCCAGTCAAACTGCCCTGTAGATATTTGTGGTGGCATGTCATATTATAATAGTGTAGACTTCCTAGATCTTCTAAGAGACATGGTTCTCAAAATAATAAAAGCCACGTTTGAATTTATTTGTTTTCTGTCATTTATGTGTATTTTTATAGAATTTCAAGTGCTTCTTATACTTAAATTGGAAAGCCTTGCAAATTTTGTAATTTTTGTGATCTTGTGTAAGTATGATGCTTAATTCGTGTTTTAGTTGACCAAGTCTCTGTGAAGTGAGTTTTAAACCCTGGACAGTAAAGAATGAAGGTTTCTAGTTCAGTAAGCCCCTTGATAACAGGAAAAGAGTTACTAGATAATTACTTTTCACTTTGTGTTATCATTTAGGTTGAAAAAGCATAAACTCATAATTATCTAGGGTGATTTACTATTTTGATTGAGCTCTAGTTGCCAGTGTGCTATGATGGCCTTATAAATGGTATAATATCAAGCCCCCAGAAATCAATAAATATAATAAAATCTTTTTACTGCCCCTTCCTTCCTACTCACCAAATCAATAGCTTTTTACCTTCTGGTTTTTTATGAAACTTCTACAATTCATTTTACTATCTGTCAGAAGTGAATTTTTTTTTTCCTGATAAGATATAGTTGTTTGATTTTTCAATTTTTTTCACTGATTTTATTTTTCATCTCTTTGTGTCTGGGACACTTACTCATGTAGCATTCTAGGCCCCAAATTTGAAATAAAATATTATACAGTGATTGAAAATGAGGACTAACACAGTGATTAGTAAAGACTCTTCATATTTGTATGCTGTTGATTTTGTTATTTTCAAATTATGGATGGGACAAGGCTTATAAACCTCAGTATGAATCACTTGAGAAAGAAAACAGAGGATAACAGATTTTTTTCCCCTTGTTCCTGTGAATCAGGATCACCTCTTTAGGCACCAGTCAGACAAATTCTGTTTATCAGACAGAGGAGTTCGAACCTCCTTGACCCCGGATTTCTCTCACGAAATTTCTCTCACCTCTCTACCTCACACCCACTACACCCACATATTGGCAATGTGTTGGCTGCTGGGTGATTGTTCATCCTCAAACTTTCAGAACATTCCTTAGACAGCATGGAACAAACCAGAGAGAAGTTAAGGCCTTTCCCAGTAGACGTACCCTCGTGATGTATCATGGTAACAGTTGTTGTCTGTCCCTCTCTGGTATTTTTCCAAGTACTTTTATTACTGGAATTTTCCAACATTGCCTTGTGTTGAAAATATAAGCTTTTGGGATAAGTATTTTTCTTCTACACACACCGAGAACCGAGTTTTCCCCGGTGCCTAGCAAAAGACTCCAGCTCATTTTGCAGCATTGATTTCATAATTCAGGCTTTCTACAGAGTCATTTGTTGTAATAGATGTTAGAGAACACGAGTAGTCTCGGTGAAAGGGAGGTGAATTTGGCTAAACAATGAGAGTCATTACATAAAAGGAAGACTGATGGAGACTTGCGAAATATTTAGGGTCCGTCTTCTGAGCTTAGTGTGGTGTATGACTTAGACGTTGTAGGTATGTGATCCATTTACTGCCCGCTTATTATACCAGACTGAATTCTTTTTCTATGCTGTGTACCATGTAATAGAAAATATAAATGGCAATTGTCAAGTCAACACTTTTGTGTTCTGTTTATTGATTCAATCAGCTTCATATATGACTGTGCATTGTCATTTATAACCTCAGTTGATGAGATTCAATCCTACAAGGAGTCTTTATAAAGCAGATAAGCATTTAAAGGGAGAGATATAAAGAAGCAAAAATTAGAACACCGCAGATCTATTTCATGTACCTAGCAGTATAATACCATCCTTTGACAATTTTTTTATACTCTTGTTTTAAATTTATACCTGTTTACCTCTTTAGAGTTGATAGTTTACCCAAGGTAAGCATCTCATGGTAAAGTGTAGGTTTTATAAAAAGTAAATTGAGTTGCTAAGGTTCAAAACTAAGGGGAGAGAATCTCACCCTTTACCTTTCCTTCACCCTCCGTATCCCAAACCTCACTGGATCAATAATCTAATAATAGACTACCAATAATCTAATTTAGTTACCCATCTCTACCTAATCTGTACCATATAAATAGTATTCTAATGCCTAGCCTTGATTAATTTTCTCCCCACTTATAGTTCATCTTAACATGTTGTCTCTAGAACCTTCTTAAAATCTGGAGAGATCTTGGCCCTCCATGCTCAGAGAGCTTCCTTATCTAAAGTGTTCAAATAGAATTAATTCTAAAACCTTCAGTTTAACTGTAAAAGCTCATCACTTTATGGTTCATAATTACCTTTCTGGTTTTCTTCAACACCGCAGACACATACATGCACCCACACACACACACTGTGCTCTTTCATCTTCTGTCTTCGGGCACTTGCCAAAATGACACCTTTTTAATTTCCCCTATTTCTATCTGAGGAAAGGCCAAGTTCATTTCCTATCTTCTCCCAAAACTTTCTGTATTCAAAATTCAGAATTAATCTCTCCCACACACCACATGCTCAAAGCAATCACTATATCTATTATACCATCAGAGAGCTATAAGATTGAGCTGCTGAAAGATAAAAACTCCACTTGCTAGGTTTTTTTTTCCCCTCATACTTAGCATAGAATTCAATGTGTTCTAAATAGGTGTTTGTGGAAACAATTAGAATCAATTGGCCATACTCCATCATCATGGTGTTGCTCTTGCTTTCTTTCAGGAACATGGAATACCTATCAACATGGGCTATGCTGTGGCCCCACACCACTCAGGGGTCTACCCGGTTCACATCCAGCTGTATGCAGCTTGGAAGAAGGTCTGGGGTATTCAGGTCACCAGCACCGAAGAGTATCCACATTTGAAACCTGCACGGTACAGAAAGGGCTTCATTCACAATGGCATCATGGTGAGCACATGTGGCTCTTTGTGGGATGTTTGTGGGATGAAGACAGAGTGCTTATCACCTCCAAGGATGTATCAGATCCTTGTTTTACATGACTATGAGAAATTCCCAACACACCATGGTGGTGGCCACATCCAACACATTGTCTGGCTGTAGGCTTCTTTCCTAAGCTGTCGAGTGGCTTTGGTGAGTCCAAGATGAGCTGGAACTAATGGGAATGAGTTTTGTATAGATTATCCATTGCAGTTTCAGAATTGAAATTTTACCTGGGAGTTCTATAATTCTCCTGGGGAATTTCTCAGTATATATTAGGTTGGGTGGTTTTACTGAGAGTTTTACAGGCAGAGAAAGCTTCCATGGATCCAGGAAACATCTCTTAAATTGCTACACTATCAACAAACAGAATGAAATAAACAGCATCTGAGAGTTAAATTTATCCATTCATTTTCTTTTGGCTTTCAGATACTTGACTATCTAAGGATACTGCTCTTTTTATATTTTCCTTACATATCCCACAAAGGGTATGTAAGGGTATATTTTTTCTTTTCAGATATATGAATTGAAAAAATAATTTGATATGAGAATGTTATATTATTTCCTATAAATGAGAATAAACCCAAGTAGATTTTAGATGGGAATTTATGATCATTCACTGAAATAAAAAATTATACACTTTGAGATAAAAAAGTTTATTTTTAAGTGTCCATCTCTATTTCCAGTGACTTAAATCATGATGAGAGCGATAGTTTACAAACTGTTTTCTTTCCTTTAAATATTCATACCTTACCAATCCATTATTCATATTGCTGTTAGAATTATCTACCTGTCTATCTAATCACTATTGAAAACCCAAATGCATGCATGCCTAACCAGAGCTGGTACTCAAAGTTAATCAAGCATAAACTTTACTTTACTGTAAATTGGTACCAGAAGACATAAAGAAGCCTCAGATTTAAATGAAGCCATTAACAATGCAAATAGTGATATTGATGTCCATAGAAATCTAGGTGGTATAAACATCATTACTCATATAATTTCAAATCAGAGTGAAAGGACCAAAATTTCTCTTTATTATGTTGCATGACCATTTGACATATTATGAAATAACAATATCACATGCATTCATTTACCTCAAGTTTAATATAAACTATAATGATAATTAGGCAAAGAATTTAAAAAATCATAGCTACTCTGTGCAATTAGATGCATTTTTCCATTAGGTTATAAATAGCTTATTATTCAAAATAAGGTTTTGGACTAAAATTACTTAATTGCTTTCTCTGTTAAACATTCAGATTTACAAAAGAAATAACCACAAAATATGCCAGAATCAGTCATTAGATAATTGACTGCTACTGTGATAACATTTAAATTCAGAGTGTAGTAAAAACACAACCAATGTGAAAGGGGTGATGAACACTGATGGTGTTGAATCCCAAAACCTCTGCCCAACACAAGATGGGATTTCAGAAGGCCAGAGAGAAATGATCTGATCGCATGAAAAATATCCTCGAAGAATCTGCATTCTTGAATAAAACTAATCTTAAGAAGGCCTTATTTATTTATTAATTTTTGCTAATCCTTTAATATAACTCAGGTGTTGGGTTGGATTTACAGAACTCAGTGAAAATTCTTTAACCTACATGTCCTATAGCTTTGATTTGGCATCTTCCTCAGTGAAAATTCTTTAACCTACATGTCCTATAGCTTTGATTTGGCATCTTCCTTAATATTTATATAATTAGACCAGCATTAGCGATTTCAGTAAGATTTTTGACCTTAACAACCAAGGAACTCCAGTAGGAAATGATCATTTGCACACTCTGAAGTCATGAGACAGTGGTGAAGTTATTAATGAAATCATGTCAATGTGCTGTTTTCCCCCCTTTTCCTTAGGTCCTCCCTCGACAGACCTGTGGGTTATTCACCCACACTATTTTCTACAAAGAGTACCCTGGAGGACCCCAAGAATTGGACAAAAGTATCAGAGGAGGTGAACTTTTCCTCACAATCCTTCTGAACCCAGTATGTATTCTATTTATGCATCCAATAACAGTATTTTCCAATGTGTTTCTTTAAAAAAAAAACTTAATCATCTTTATTTTCTTTATTTATAGCACATCTTTACTGCAAGTATATTTAAATCTACATTTCAAATCTTTTCCTTGATAAAATTTGATTTTGGGGGAACTGATTTTTTTGTAGGTCTGTTTAGAAAGTTGTGGTTTTTACTTTGCAATGAGGCTGACGAAAGTTCATTTCTAGCAGTAAAAGGTGATGTATGTCTTCCATTGTTATTTTCTTCAAGTTAGTTCTTTTCTTTCCCTCTGCTTTATTAAGATATAATTGACAAATAAAAACTGTATTATTTATGGTATAAACTTGATGTTTTGTTATATGTATACATTATGAAATAATTAAGTGAATTAACATGTTTATCACCTCACATTCTTATCATTGTTTGTGATAAGAACATTTAAAATCTACTCTCTTAGCAATTTTCAAGTATACAGCACCATATTATTAACTATAGTTACCATACTGTGCAATACACCTCCACGCATATCATACATCCAACTAAAACTTTGTGCCCTGTGACCAATTTCTCCCCCAGTCCCTGGTAACTACCATTCTACTCTCTGCTCCATGAGTTCAGCTCCATGAGTTTAGATTCCATATATAAGTAAGGTCATGAAGATTGGTCTTTTTGTGCCTGGCTTGTTTCACTTGGCATAATGTCCTGCAGGTTCATCTATGTTGTCACAAATGAAAAAAGTTCCTCCTTTTTAAAGGCTGAGTACTATTCCACCGAGTATATATACCACATTTTCTTGACCCATTTATTTGGTAGTGGGCACTTAGGCTATGTATCTTGACTGTTTTGAAAATGCTGCAATGAGCATGAGAGTACAAATATCTCTTGGACTTCTTTAGCTATATACCCAGTAAAGGGATTGCTGGGTCATAGAGTAGTTCTATTTTTAATTTTTTGAGAAACCTCCATAATGTTTTCTATAATGGCTATAGTAATCTACATTCCTACAAATACCTGTTATCTTTGTCTTTTTTATGATGGTCATTTATACAGGTGTGAGGTAATATCTCATTGTGATTTTAATTTCCATTTTCCTGATGATTAGTGATGCTAGTATTTTTTTCATATACTGTTGCTCACTTGTATGTATGTCTTGGTTTGAGAAACGTCTTTTCAGGTCCTTTGCCCATTTTTTAATCGGGAAATTTTTTTTTTTACTATTGAGTTGTTTGAATTCCTTATATATATATAGCCCTTTGCAAAGGTATGGTTTGCAAATGTTGCAAATGTTTTTTCCAATTCCATAGGTTGTCTCCTCACTTTTTTGATTGTTTTCTTTTCTATGTAGAAGCTTTTTAGCTTGATGAAATCCCATTTGTCTAATTTTGGCTTTTGTTGCCTGTGTTTTTAGGTTTATGTACAAGAAACTCAATGCCCAAACCATTATCAAAAATTGTTTCACCTGTGTTTCCTTTTAGTAGTTTTGTAGTTTCAGGTCTTACATTTAAGCCTTTAATTCATCCTGATTTGATTTTTTAAATATGACTTGAAGTGAAGCTCCAATTTTATTCTTCTTCATTATGTATATCTAGTTGCCAACACATGTTTATTGAAAAGGCTGTCTTTTCCTCATTTTGTGTCTGTGCAACCTTTGTCAAAGATCAATTGACTGAAAATGTACAGATTTAACTCTGGGACATCTATTCTGTTTCATTGGTCTATATGTTACTTTTTATGCCAGTACCATGCTATTTTGATTAGTATAACTTTGTAATATAGTTTGATGTCAGGTAGTGTGATGTCTCCAGCTTCGTTCTTGTTGTCCAAGATTCCTTGGACTATTGTGGGTCTTTTGTGTTTCCATACAGATTTTAAGATTGATTTTTATATTTCCATGAAAAAGTTCATTGAAATTTTGATAGGGATTGCATTGAATTTGTAGATCACTTTGAGTAATATGGATGTTTCAGCAATATCAATTATTCCGATCCATAAACACAGAATATCTTTTCATTTATTTGTGTCTTCTTCAAGTTCGCACATCAATGTTTTATACTTTTCAGTGTACACGTCTTTTAACTCCTCGGTTAAATTTATTCCTGGGTATTTTTTATGCCATTGTAAACGGTATTGTTTTCTTGATTTCTGTTTCAGATAGATTGTTGTTAGTATAGAGAAACACTACTGATTTTTGTATGTTGATTTTAGATCCTGCAACTTTACTGTATTTGTTTATTAGTTCTGTCAATTTTTTCATGGAATCATTAGAGTTCTCTAGATCATGTCATCTGCATACAAGGACAAATAAACTTATTCCCTTCGAAATTTGGATGCCTTTTATTTCTTTCTCTTGCCTAATTGCTGTGGCTAAAACTTTTAGTATCATATAGAAGAAGTGGTGAAGGTGGGCATCATTGTCTTGCTCCTGATCTTAGAGGAAAAGATTCCCACTTTATATCACTGAGTATGATATTAGGTGTGGGGTTGTCATATGAACTTTGTTGTGTTGAGGTACATTTCTATTATACCTAATTTGTTGAGTTGTTGTCATAAAAAGATATTGAATTTTGTGAAATGCTCTTTTTGCATCTATTGAGATGAGCATAGTATCATTTATTCATTCTGTTAGTGCAGTGTATCACATTTATTAATTTGCATATGTTGAACCATTCTTACAATCCCAGGGATAAATCCCACATAATATCAATGTATGATCCTTCTCATTTGCTGTTAAATTCAGTTTGCTAGTATTTTTGTTGAGTATTTTTGCATGTTCCTCAAAGATATTGGCCTGTAATTTTTTTTTTTTTTCTTATAGGGCCTTTATCTGGCTTTGGTATCAGGGTAATGCCACATGATCTTGGAAGTTTTCTCTCATCTTTAATTTTTTAGAAGAGTTTGAGGAGAATTAGTGTTAATTCTTTATTTACTGTTTGGTAAAATTCACCAGTGAAGCTTTTCTTTGTTGCAAGACATTTTTCTACTTATTCAATCTCCTTACTCATTATTGGTCTGTTCAGATTTTCTATTTCCTCATGGTTCAGTCTTAGTAGGGTATATGTTTCCAGGAATTTTTCCATTTTCTCTAGGTTAGTCATTCTGTTGGAGTATAATTGTTTATGTAGTCTCTTATGATCCTTTGTACTTCTGTGGTATCAATTGTAATGCTTCCTCATTCATTTCTTACTTTGACTTCTTGGTCTAGCTATAGGCTTGTTAATTTTCTCTATCTTTTCATAAGCCAACTTAGTTTAATTGATCTTTTCAATTGTTTTTCTAATCTCTATTTCATTTCTTTCTGCTATACTCTTTATTTTTTTCTCTCTTCTGCAGACCTTGGGCTTGACTAATTCTTTTTTTTCTATTTCCTTGAGTTGTAAAGTTAGGTTATTTATTTGAGATCTTTCTTTTTTCTTAATGTAGGCATTATTGCTATATACTTCCCTCTTAGAACTGCTTCACAACCCCTTCACATGATTAGTTGGAAAATCCTAGCCCTACTAGAGAGAAATTAGACTACATATCCAAATTATTCAATTCCCTTATGAGAATCAGTCAAGAAAAAACACAGATTTGTTAAGAAGTATGTGTTGAATATAACAATTAAATGTAATATAACATCTCAATGTTGGTTTCCATTCTTGAATTGTGATTAAGACATAATAATATGTGGTTCTGCAGCCAAAAGTTAAAATGCATAATTTCATCAGCAATGCATATTTTCACCATAAGCTGTGTTTGCTTCTGGATCAATACAATAGTAGGCACACCTACTTCAGTCTTTAAAAATGATCAAAATGTAAAGCTGCTCTGAAAATATGTAGCTATGTATTAGCTTTGTACACTTGGATGATGGGAGGCCTATTTTTAAATCTCCACTAATTTTATTTGGAATCAAAGATAGAGAATTTGGCCCTTTTTAAAAATTGTGTCTTTTTCTCTTTCAAAGTTTGTGATTTTAGTTCCTGTTATAAATGTATGCATAAAGGTTATAACAGTATGGGAATACATTATCATTAGATAATGTTGGGATTATTTCAGCTTTCTGATTTTTCTCCCATAATGATTCAATTTCTGAAATTTTAGCGAAGCATATCTTCATTTAAGTTCCAGTGCACACAGAAAATATGAAATAGTGGGTCTATTCTATGTCAACCTTGTTTAATGTAAGAGATTTTCATACTTTAGAAAAGAGATGTATGCTTTAAATAAAACTATAGTTAAATTGTCTGCAGTGAAGCTCCAGGTATGTTTTAAATGAATTATGTTAGATAATTTATATGTACTACTTTAAATTCCTAAAGAAATTAAATAAAACCTATATTATATGAAGATGAAAACTTGTAAATTGGATTGGAGAGCAGGGAAGTGAGGGCAAAATGTGCTTTATCAGAGTATGAGTAATTTAAAAATCTTCCCCTTAAACTGCATGGTTATTAAAAATCAAAATGAACCAACAAAATCTGTTGGGCACTAACTTGGCACTAAACTTGGAAATAGGAGCTTAGATGCTCTAGGACTGTTAGCAAGAAATTTCATTTTTCAGAGGTGTTTGGGCTGTGTTGTGATATATTGAGTTCCTTGTCATTGAAGCTGTCCCAACACAAATTTTGTAGGAATGTGCCTTCTAATATCTCACCTGACACTACGAATCTGTGATTTCTATCTTGTCATGCAATTAGACATTGGATACATCTCTCATTGTAAAACATAAAAATATATAAAACAAGTTAAATTTTAAACATTACCAACCAGCATTGTAAAGTTGTATCTACTCTATAAGTGTAAGATCAGAGGAAAAGAGGAAAGGGTAACTTGCCATCAACACATAACAGAATAATAGGATAAGGTAAAATGGAAAGCTTTCTAGTGGTAGATACATGGAGGGAAGTAGAAAAGGAGACATAACCTTCCCATCGCTGGGAGACTGAAATATTACTTCCAGGTTTAGCAGAACAATTTTGAATTTTGATTGGTAGTTTCTGAGTTC